CCTATTATTATTTATGGAATATTTAAATAATTAAAAATGTACAAACATATAAACAGTATAGTAATTGTGAATGGTTAAAAAAATGAAAACTAGAAGAGTGAAATACAAGTATGTCATAATATTAAAGAGAAATTTCTCAACAAATATTATAAATTAAATCCAATAATATATATAAAGAATCCAGATCATGCCCAAATGTGACTAATTCCAGGTATGTAAACTGGAATTGATCAACATTTAAAATAATCTCAAATATAATCCTCCACATCAACAAGATGTCATATGGCTATACCACTTGAGTCAGAAATACACTTGATAAAAGCCAACATTCACTTTTTATGAAAAATGTATTATTGCATCTGAATAAGAATAAAAAATATCTTCAAGCTGATAAAGAACATCTACAAATACCTGCAGTTAGGATTGTGCTTGCAGGTGATGATTGTATACTTTCTAAGATCAGGAACAAGGCAGAAATGAAATATCTTAGGGTTTTGTTTTCTAGAATTAAAAACTGCTTCACAAAGACAAAATAAAACACATAAAGGTTTAAAAGGAAAAAAAACCTAAATTATTCACACAGAGATATGATTGTCTATGTGAAAAATGCCAAAGAATTTATGAAAAAATTTTTTACTCACAAATAAGACCAAGATAAAAGAATGTAATCATATAGATCCGGCATACATTTGGCTGGATATAAATTCTTAATTTGTTTGAGTGCTATGGTAAATAGCATTGATTTTTTAAATTTCAGAATCTAATCAGTTATTATTGGAATTTTCAGGAAACCAGCTGACCATTTTTGGTTTTGTTAAATGTATTAGCTTTATATCTTTTTAGACACGTGAAGGGAAGCTTGGAAGAGAACTCCAGGAAGTCATTGCCGTTGGGTAGCTGTTTGCATGGGTGGGTTTGCAGCCAACAAGAACTGGCAAGTAAGGCTATAATTGGCCAATGGGGTATTTAGTCAGAGAACTCTGGGCACATAACAGAGAAGGAAAGGCTGAAACTTTCTGGGCCTTTCAAATCAGCCCATCACCACACGACTAAAATGACCTATAGAGAATAGTGTTCAACATTTCACATTATTCTTACAGGAAATTTTTAAAAATCTGTTTCCTGTAGGAATCAATGTTCTCATCTTAATCAAGTTGACATAGTACTGTCTGGCACACTATTTATCTGCATCTGTGTCTACTAAATTCTCAATTACAATAATACTGTTTCTCTTGGCGCCATCTTGAAGTTTTATAAAATTAATAAAAGAATATAAGAAATAGCTTTAAAATTATACCACATAATAAAAACACATAATTTTGTCAATTACCCAACTTTATAAGTGCTAGCAATTCCTAGTGTTTGAAAGGGTAACCAAAGAGACTTGTAAAATTATATTTACTGATTAGTTTTGTTATTTGACAATTGCACAAACAAAAACAATGTATTCTTAAAAAAATTCTAGAAGAGTAGTATATGTCTCTAGAAGCTGCTTAATCATTACATTTTTAATTAACATTACATTTTTAATGAACGAGAGATAAGAAAGAGATTAAAACTTGCTTCTAATAACTCATATACTAAAATGAAAAGTGGAAAAAATAAGCTCACCCAAAGCTACTTTCAAAGCATTTACAAGAAAGCATGATAGCACTGAGAATATATTGGTACACTCAGCCTTACTCACAAAGATGATTAGAGTCAGGATCTCGTTACTATGGCAACTTCGGAATATCTTGGATAAAGACTGTAATAAGTCAAAGATTACATCATCGTAAAAGTGAATTCCAAGAAAAACTAAAAAAAAAAAAATCAATAAACATCATGTAAATTTTGAGGAGAAACAAAAGTGGATCATCAGCTTCCCAAGATTTCTGTCTCACAAATATGGCTTGGCAATGCATGAGGAATTTTGTTTGATATTTTAAATTCATGGCTATAAAGTCTCAGATGAGCTTTATCTTCTCACCTTATAATGTTAATTCCTGTAAAGCAAATAATACTTAGTTTAATTTGTGGCATTTATTAGTAGCTTTCCACTTCAAAAATCAACTTTTTATTCAGAACTTTGTAGACAGCATGTTAAAAGAAATTTATATTTCCAAAACCGGAGTGATGGTTCAGTGATAAAGAACACATACTGCTCTTGCAGACAATCAGAGTTCAGTTCCCAGCATAATCACCTATAAATCCAACTCTTGGGCATCTGATGCTCTTTTTTGGTCTCTACAGGAACCAGTGTTCATGTGCACATAACCACACACAGGCATACATGCATACACATAATTTAAAAAACAGAGATTGATATTTTCTATGAAGTTATATCTAAATTCAGATAAAAGTTGAAGGTAAAAATCTACAAGCTAGAGTAAAGTTTAGGGAAGTTATAATTTATCTGCTATATGGGATGTCAATAAAACCTAATGTCCAAGCAAAATCTTAATAGCACTTTGGAAAAATGAACGATTGATATAGATAGTATAAGAACTTGTTATTTATTTACTCACTCAATTTGTTAAAAGTCATAGTGGGTACAGGTGGATAGAGCTGCTCTCATTCCAGACTCCAAATATGTATAAAGTGTAAGATGAAGAAAAGGAATTACTCTTAGGGTCCTCCTTGTATCCTAGCTTCTCTGGAACTGCGAGTTGCAGTCTGATTATCTTTTGCTTTACATCTAGTATCCACTTATGAGTGAGTACATACCATGATTGTATTTCTGAGTCTGGGTTACCTCACTCAGGATAATATTTTCTAGCTCCATCCATTTGCCTGCAAATTTCATGATGTCATTGCTTTTAACAGCTGAGTAATACTCCATTGTGTATATGTACCAATTTTCTTTATTCATTCTTCGGTTGAGGGGCATCTAGGTTGGTTCCAGCTTCTGGCTATTATGAATAATGCTGCTATGAACATAGTTGAACAAGTGCCCTTGTGGTATGATTGAGCATCCCTTAGGTATATATATGAAAGGGGGAATCTGTGGTTGGTATGTAAAATGAATAAAAAAATTAAAAATACTCCATAATTTAAATTAATAAACATTTATTGAATGTTACACATACATATATATGTGTATATATGTATATATATATATATATACACATATAGAAAAGTCAATTATATCAAGTAGAGATACTTGACAGTTTAGATAGTCCTCAGTAACCTTAGAGAGTATGCCACCTTGTGTATTTAGGAAGAATTAAGATATGCCTAATTTACCTTCTTCTCACTAATATCTGTAAGAGACATGGTGCTTCATCATTACAAACATAACCCAAACTAAGACAGAAATTGGTACTAGAAGTAGGGTATTGTTGTGAGAGACCTGGCCATGTTTGGGGGAAGATTGTCGAAGGATTTTGGAACTTTGGGCTAGAAAAGCCAGTGAGTGTTGAGAACTCAGTGGGATGTTTTGTAGAAGCTTGGAAGATAAGAATGTTGAAAGCAGTGCAGATGTGGTATGGTTTAACATCCTTTGGGTAATACCCAAGAGTGGTAGACTGATTCCCAGTTTACTGAGAAACCACCACACTGACTTCAAAAGTGGTTGTATAAGTTTGCATTCCAACCAGCAATGGGGGAGTGTTCCCCTTGCTCCATATCCTCTCCAGCATAAACTGACATTTATGTTTTTGATCTTAGCCATTCTGACAGGTGTAAGATGGAATCTCAGAGTCATTTTGATTTCCATTTCCCTGATGGCTAAGATGTTGAACATATCCTTAAGTGTTTCTTGGCCATTTGAGGTTCTTCTGTTGAGAATTCTTTGTTTAGCTCTGTACCCCATTTTTTAACTGGATTATTTGGTTTATTGATATTTAGTTTCTTGAGTTCTGTATATATTTTGGAAATCAGCCCTGGAACACTACCCTACAAATAGGAAAATATCTTTAACAACCATATTTTCCATTCTTGTAAGATGACTATACCCACACAAATAGTTCTTTTCTAAAGTCAAATGATTGGTATTAAATGAATAAAACACATTCCTGGCCCCTAAAAAAAAAGGAAATTCTTACATAGCTCTTTGAATTACACATATTTATAAAATATACAAAATATTGCTTTGAGATAAAAGTTACAAAGTTTCCATGATTAAAATTTGTTCTGCATTTTTCTTTACAAGTTTATTTCTCCTAAAATTCTTTGGCAAAAATGAAGCTAGTGATCACTGAGAACTATATTTTATTCATTCAGAACAACAGACGACAGTTCATCAAGGGAAAGAAACACTTTATGGCTAAAAATGCAGTCTCAGATAATGAAAAGTAAAACGGGAAATGTTCTAAATAGGATAGTCACAGAACATATGATTATAGCAGGGATAATAAGCAATAAATCAGGATTAGAGAGTTATTATTCTTAGCCCCAAATAAGTTATTTTCTAACAACATCTTACAACATTGTTAGTGCTTTGAACATAACATAGAAAAAATAAACTATGTAAACCAATCTCTAACTATAATCTGGGCTTTCCTAATTTACAAGATTATTGTACCCCTGATGGTAGCATCAGAATCCAACCCCGGTGCAGGCTTTTTGGAGCCCACTACCTATGATGGGACACCTCATGAATCCTTGAGACAGGGAGAAGGGTTTGGACTTGCCTCTACTGGATGTGCCTCCCCATGGGAGGCCTCGCTTTTTTGTGGGGGGAGTGGGTTGGGAGGGGGATGCTGGGGGTGGGAGGAGGGGAGAGGGGGACCTTTGATTGGTGTGTAAAATGAATGAAAAAAATTTCTTAATCAAAAAAAGATTATTTTAATGAGGATGTTATTTTATTTAATAGAGTTCTATATGCAAATAAATATAACTTGCAAGTTTAAAATAAAAAAACAAACTTCCTAGTTTTTTTTTTACTTTATCTTTTAAATTGATCTTTAAAATTTTTTAAATAGTATCTTAGCAATAAGTTTTAAAACTTAAACTTTAAATTTATATTCTGGAGTTGTAGCTTAATGGTAGAGCACTTGCCTGACATTTAAAAGCTCCAAGCTCAATCCTCATTAATAGACAAATGGGAAAGGATAAAAGAGAAAAAAGAGATTTATATTCTATTTTCTTTCTGTTTTTTTATTTTGTTTTTCAAGACAGGATTTCTCTGTGTAGTTTTGCGCCTTTCCTGGAACTCACACTGTAGCCCAGGCTGGCCTCGAACTCACAGAGATCCACCTGGCTATGCCTCCCAAGTGCTGGGATTAAAGGTGTGTGCCACCACAGCCCAGCTATATTCTATTTTCTTAACATTAACATGAAGGCATTTAAATAACAACAGCAGTCTGATTACAACCACCGATCTCTTTCATGCATTCATTTTGCAAGTTTTTTAACTCACAAATTTACATATTAAAATAATTCTTAAAATTGAAAAAAACATTATCAAAAGCATTGTTTCTTATTGGAGCATCTCATTTTATAGAAGATTAGGCCCAGTGGATGGCAAGAATTCTCTATAGAAGTGGAGTTGAATTTATTTGAACCTAGAAAGGGAAGAGACACATTTCACACCTGTCTCATTCCTGGCCATTCCTTTACATGTACTTTTTTTAAATTATGCTGATCTTGCAGCATACTCACTTGTTAGCTGGTTAACAAGTGATGTCTTTGTAGTCAATGTTTGTTAGGAATACCTCAGCTTCTAGACCCCTCTCATCCTTCTTTTTAACAATACTTGGAATTCCCACGTAATGCTTTAGTGCCGCCCCTATTTTATAGGAGAACCCATACCTGACTTAAGTCATCTCATCCTTTACGATAATGCTATCCTCTTACTAATACGTGAATAATGAACTTTGTTTCTTGTGTTTGACCAGTAAACTTTCCACCAAGTGTCACTGGCAATCATCATGGGAGCATCTGAGGGAAGCAGCAAGAGTATTGGACCAGTAGTATTGGAACCAACACTGTAGAGAGGATCTAGAGACAAGCTTCTGCCCACCATTAATTTCAAATACAACAAGAAAATCTTGTGACACTTCATCTTCTCTAGACTGTTCTATTGCACAATGGGACAAGTTTTCTTGCGTATGTGAGCTAATTAGATTTGGATTCTCTAATGTATCTCTATTAAGAATATTCCCAGGTGATGAAGTATTTCTTTTTAGCAAATAAAATAAAATGAATACATTTTATACTGGTGATGAAAAGAGGATGGCTGAAAATCCATGCCATAGAAGTTATCACTAATGTGCTCAGGCCAGAAGAACAGCTTAGAATCTTGGTTTTGGTCTTCGAGAGAAGGTTGGATAGTTCACATAAATGTCCTCTTTCTCATCATCTATAGACTGGATGGGAGAAGTGGGACTTCTGCAGTTGGTGGCTACCTACAAAATAAATAGCAGAACATTTGAATGGCTCACTGAATTTCAGCACAAATTGAAGGCATTCTATCTTATTTGATCTTACCCTACAAATGCACTTAGTCAAATTTCCATTACAAATAATTTGATAAAATATTCTCTATATTATCTAAAACTTAATTTAGAAATTACATTCTCAATTTACAAGACTGGAATAGATGCTAGATAAATTTAAGGCAGATTATCAGGTTTAATATTATTCTGGTTACCTCTTCAAAGATAAGATGTACTCTACCTATGCAAAGTCTAGTATATTTCCCCATAGTGTCTATATAATAATATCTGATGAATGGATACTTTAATAAATAAAGCTTTCTTTAAATATATTTTTACTAATTTTTTATTGTTTTAAATATGCATACAATATATTTAGGTCGTATTAATCACTGCTCCATTCCCTAACTCCTACCAGATTCATCAGCCCATACCTCTCAACTTCATGTCCATTTTTTGATAACCCACTGATTATTATTCCAATTTGTTCTGCCCATATACAAGTAGATGTGAAGTCATTCACTGGAACATGGTTGACCCACCAGAGGACACATCCTTAAAGAAAACTGATTCTCCCTCCCACAGAAGCCATCAACTCTCAATAGCTTCTCATCTAGGGGTTGGGGCTTGTGAGTCCATCTTCCCTCCAGGTTGGAATGCTGGCTGGCTTCATCTTGTATGGATCTTGTATAGGCAACCACAGCTGCTGAGGATTCATCAGTGCAGTCAGTAGTCCTATCATGTCCAGAAGACAGCGTTTTAGTCCAGTCCTCCCCAAACTTTGGCTTTCTGCCCCCACTTTCCTTGATAATCTGATAATCTCTGAGCCTTGGGAAGAGTGTGTTTGAATAGATAGATAGATAGATAGATAGATAGATAGATAGATAGATAGATAGACAGATAGAATAGCTGAGCACTCCACAGATACTTATTCTCTTCACTTTAAAATGAGTCATGACTTTCTATGTTAACCACTATCCACTGTAAAAGAAACTTTTGTGATGATGTCTGAGAGCTACACTAGTTTATAGGTACAGAAATAAGAATTTAGAGAGCAGATTAATACTACATCCATTTAGCAAACCCATAGTAGTAGGTTTATGCATGGGGCCTGTAAGTTCCCCACCGTGGGTCTTAGAATTACAGCACCAAGCATATATTTCCTCCCATGGAGCAGGCCTCTTACCCAACCAGAAGGTAGTTGGTTAACCCATAATATTTGTACCACTAATGCACCAGTGTTATGCAAGACTTTTGAGGACTTTTTCCTCTAGCATCCTAAATAGCACCCGTTTACATTATTTATGAAAGCTATCCAGAGGGAAGGAAATTTCTTTGTCAATGGCAACTTGATTTCTCTCATATAGCATGGGTAAAGTGTGTGGTGTCTTTAGAATAGAGTCTTATCATTAAGTTCTCGTGGGCAACCAAGAAGAATAGTAATAGACTGTATTTTTGGAATTCCTCCAGGACACCCCTGACAAACAACTTGAGAGAAAGAAGCTCATATCTAGCAATATTCTCTTTAATAAATAAAAATGTTAAAGTGCACAGTGTCCTATCTTTAAACAAAAAGTAAGCAATTAAATACACTGAGAGAGAGAGAGCTCTTTTGATAACTATTTCAAAATTAAATGACTTTTGCATCTGTATGAAGAAAGCAAAAGGAAAACAAAGATGCTTTGATATTGATATGGACTGTGTAAAGCACTCAAAAGAATCAAGTATAACTAACACCTTTATCTTTCACAGTTCTAAGATTTCAATCATCTAAGATTGTCCACAAGTCCTTTATAATATCCTTATGCTACAGAAGTCTGGAATAATTGGATATCTAGTGGAGATAATTTAAAGCATCTTTCTTTCCACTCTCAAAATTCATAGCAATAAATTTGCATTTGGATTGGCATGATGGGTCAAAAAGTTCAGCACAAAGAAAGGACTCTAAACACTGGGATTGGAGCATCATCTTGTGTGCTCTGGTAGCATATGAACTAAGGCAAAACATCTTTGTTTTGAACTTGATTCCAAGAAGCAAACTATGAGTCAGTCAGGAAAAATAATTTCTAAAGACCAATTGCTTCATAAAAGAGGAAAATTAAATTGATAGATTATTAAGAAGTCTACAGCACACATATCAGATTGTCAGCGACTTTTTAGTATTTGTGCTTTAGCCATGTAGAACTTGACTGCAAATAATTAAAGTGAAGAAAAATTGACGTAACTTTGGATAGCACTTGAAAAAATGTCTTAGTTCAGGCAGCTATAACAGAATAGTATAAACTAAGTGGCTTAATTAAACAACAAACATTTATTTCTCACAATTTTAAAGTATACAAAGTCCAAGGTCAAATATCAACTCAGGGCTTGATCCTTGAATTACAGATATTCATCTTCCTTCTTCTTATACCAAATTTTTCCTTGTGCCAAATTTTTCCTTGGACGAAAACAAACAAACAAACAAAGGGATATGGCTTTCAAACTCTTCACATCTCTTCTCATAGGAGCACTAATTCCATTAATGAGGGCTCCACCCTTATAACCCAATCACCTCTGCAAGGCCCCACCTGCAAATACTATCACCCTGGAGGTTTGATTATTATATATGAATTTAGGGGGCATATGAGCATTCAATTCCCAGCCACGTTTTATAGTGAAACTTAAAAAATACAATAATTTGCTATTAAGATCGAGATATCTGAACTAAAATTAGGGACAATGAACATGAAAAAAGCATCCCTCTTATCTGCAAACTCAGAAGGAATTTTCCACTTTTTGAATTGAAGTAGGGGGCAAAGCAAAGCAGATTAAAAAAGAAAAAATTCATAGTTTGTTACAATCCTGCAACACACATGAAAATTCTGTAATTTTATAACCTATTTGAGCATTTATTAATTAAAAATTAATTCAAAGATAATAATATCAATGAAAGTCATGCATTATACCTTTCTTTGTGTGTGCTATGCTTCTGAGTCATTTTGTAGTTTAATTTAGCCCTCATAATAACCTTATGACATAAAATAATGTTATGTATGAGTTGAATAGGTGTCTCTTTAAAAATGTCTTTACAAGAGATAGTGCCCCTGTTCCCACTGTTAGGAGTCCCATGAGAGGACCAACCTACACAACTATAACATATATGCAGAGCACCTAGGTCAGTCTCATGCACACTCTCATTGTCAGTTCCACATCTGTAAGTCCCTATGAGCCCAGTTTAGTTGATGCTGTACTGGATCACCTTGCCCAGCCTTAATAGATGGGGAGGTGCTAAATCTTACTGCAACTTGATATGCCATGTTTTGTTGATTCTCATGTGGAGAATCTGCCTATTACTAAACAGAAATGGAGGAGGAGTGGATTAGGGGGTGGAAACAGAGGGGTCGGGCTGGGGGAAGGGAATGGGAGGAGAGTAAGGAGGAGAAACTTCGGCCAGGATGTAAAATAAATAAATAAATATTTTAAAAAATAAATATCTTTACAAAAACTTCATTATTTAACATATTTTGAAAGTAAGATCTTTGCAGATAAACTAACACTAAGGAGCTAGAGAGGAGGGCTTAGTGGCTAAGTGCTTAGTGGACAAGCATGGACATAGGATTTAGATTCCCAGCACCCATGTGCTAGCTGGGCACAGATCTCTGCAACCCAAGTACTAGAAATTTAAGACAAGAAGATCTCAGAGAGTCAATGGCCAATAAATCTAGCAAAAGTGGCAAAAGTCAATGAGACATTGTCTCAAAAAATAATGTGGAGATCTATAGAGGAAAATAGAAGTCATCATGAAACACTGGCCTCAACACATGCACATATTGGCAACAAAGCTTGCCTTCATATGCACATCTACACACCCAAAACTTAAGAAGATAAAGTTAATGTGTTACACTGAAGTAAGGAACATCAGCCTTTAGTCCAATATGACCAGTGTCTTTATTAGAGCCAAGGAGATCCAGACAAATGCAAATAAGGCATCATGTGAACACAGGGAGAGATTTAGAGGCATATCTGCAAGCCAATGGCTGTGTAGAACTGCAGGAAACTACCAGAAGCTGGTAGAAAAGTGCAAGACCAGTTTTACCTAAGAAGTAGGCATCCTTCTCATGCTTCATTTTTTTTGTTTACTTCAATCCTCAAAATCATAAAAGAGTAGATATCTGCTGTTTTAAGCTATCAATTTTGTTCATTGTGTTATGGAAACACACATAATGCAGATTTTAGCAATGTATAGTGCTGACTATAATTATATCAGTGTAATTTCTATTATTTTTCTCACAATCCTCCTGCCTCAGTTTTCCAAGAACTAGAACTATGGGCATGTAATATTTTTTACACTACTATATTTTTAAAATCCTAGCTTCAAAACTATTAACAATAAGAGAGTAACTATTTCGTCAGCTAGTTGACACTTGAATTGCAAGCAATGGCACTCAAGGTCATTGAAAGGGAAGTAAGCAATAAGATTGATAACTGAAAATAAAAGAGGTCTTACAGGAGACTTTTAAACAATGGGAGCAATGACAATCAACTTACCTTACTCTGTTTATCCCTGGGCTCTTTAAGTGGTGTTCTCACCTGTCTCCTTCTCCTTCTAGAACACAAATTCAGCAAAGAATATTAAGACACTGCACTCTAGCACTAGTTATCCCTACTTTTCAAATCCTTGCTGTGTCTCAAGCCAGTGTGTACTAGTGAATAAATAGTTATGGCTATAAATAATTGTTTTATGTCTACACTTTCTACTGTGGTGGTTTGATTGTCAGCTTGACTAGATTTAAAGTCATCATGGAAGTGTATTTCTGGTATGATTTTTTGTTTCCAGAAATTTTTATTTGAAGAAGACTCATGCTGATATAAGTATCACCATCCTTCTGGCTGGGGTCAAAGGCTCAATAACAAGAAGAAAATACACTGGGAATCACTTCCCTCGGCTTCCTGACTGGATACAACATGACCAGATTCCTCATATTCTTGCTTCCATGATTTCCAAACTGTGAGTCAAAATAAATCTGTTCTTCCTTAGGGCTGTTTTTCCTGGTGTTTGTCACAGCAATGAAAAGCATAGCACACTTACCTTCTCCAATGTACTTATAGACGGGAAGGACAGCTACACGGCTCTTTGGGCAGAGTACATTAGTAATTAATCACAGTTATTTCACAAGATACTATATAGTTGGTTAATATTAAAACAGCCTACAGCTTTGGGACTTAGAGGTTTTCTACAAGTAAAACTTCTTTAAAATGCTAGCATTGGAATTTATTGAATGACAATAATAATTGACTTAAGTTTTATAAAATCTCCTGGGTCTTTATAAATTACCTGGATGCATTATTTTATTTAGAGTTCATCAAAGCTCTAATACATTAGGAAAGTGCTGAGAGGGGAAATAGCATCTTGCCTGGCATCTTAGTTGGTTGGTAGTGTTGCTGAAGTTAAAGCCATGGCCCTCCCACCTGACTCCGAGGCATCCCCACCCTGAGTCACTCAGACAAACAGCCCATCCAGAAAAACAGTGTGCAATACACTTACCTAGGAAAACCAAAGTTCCTGGCAAAAATCTCAGAAAAAAAATATAAGAGAAACAAAAAAAAGATGGTAATATAATTGAAAGTGTAAAAAGAATAGCCACGGCCAAGAATATTGAAAGAGCTGTTATGGGGGAATCATGACACTCTCTTTATCATCTCTCTCTGGACAAGATTCTAACAGAACTAAAATAGAAATAGATTAAACACAAGAAGTGAGAAGTTTTGTTTTCTTTCCTTTTCTCATGTTTTGTTTAAAGATACAATTTCAATTTCTCTGTAGAAAATCTGAAAGCAAGATATTCTTTCTACAAAGAAAAGCTGCTCAGTGATGGCTATTGTTTGCAGTGGATACTTGGAATTCCTTGAAAGTACCCCTACTACCTCAGCACATTCTTATCTCTTTATGTGCATTTATTTGGTTTTTGTTATTTAAGAAATTAGTCCTCAATTTATTTACTCATCCCATGTGTAAATGTATAATGTATAAATGATATTTTCCTAAGTTTATGTAAGTCAATTCTCACTTATTCTTTAAGAAAATATGTGATATGGCTGCTATTGGATGGATCTATGCCTCTGGTCAGTTGAGTTGTCATTCATAAGAAATGGTATCTATGTGTGTCTATGTGTCTGTATATGTCTTTCTCTGTGTATTTGTGTGTCTATATGCATAGGTATGTCTCTGTGTGTAGGTGTCTGTCTCTATGTGTGTTTACCTATATTTAAATAAGACTAGTACATACAATGTGGTGGATAAAAGAGAACTTGACTTAGATCTCAAAGCTCTCTTTAAGTAACTTGTGGTGTGCTACTTGCTAGACAAGGAGGGATCAGTATCTCTCATAGTCCTTTTATCTTTACAATATAGTTAGTATATATACCAAAGTTTGTTTTGTGTTCAGCAGTTGTCCTGGTTTGCCTAATTGTAAGGTACTTCCCAGTATGTGACTTTTTTTCAGTGCTGAAAAGAGGAGAGTTTCCAGCGTATCAAGACATTATGCAATTTGCAAATGTTTATAAAATGTACGAATAAGCAATATTTTTCTCACTAAATATTAAATATTACCTTACAAAGATGGATGTCCATCTCATGAATAAACTTTGGCTCCTTTGATTCTGAGCAGCACTCTGTACTGCTGGTCATAGTCACTATTTTCAATGTTCCCATCTCTACATGGAATGAGTACAGGCCAGAAGCAGAGGAATTGCTCCCAAGGACATCAGAGTCATAGGTGACCAGGCGCTAGGAGTAAAGTCAGGGTTTGCTTTGGCTCCTGTCCAACTCAGTGCATCAGAAGCTGCAGCATTATTCTGAACAGGACGACACAGGGCTCCAGGTCACTGCTATAACCCTCGGGTCAGTTTTCAAAGCATTTCCATTTGAAGTAACAACCAAAAGAGACTTGTGACAAAGTAGGATGAACATGTGCCCTTTCTTTTGTGCTTTTCACCTACTATTATGCAGTCAAGTCCATTAATCTTTTTATAACATTTAACCAGGGGGAGGCTATGCACTCTCTGGTTCAATTTAGTTGTTCAGGTAAAAGTAATGCATTTTCATGAAGCGAAACCCATCATGTCCAACGTCTGTGACCCTGCAGAGGTCCCTCCTGCCGCTCACTGTTTCAGCTGTGCTGCCGGGCCCTTTGTACTGCACCTGTGGCCTCTGCCCTTTGCATCTTTTAATAAACCAAGGTGGAGCAGTGTAGAATTTTCTATGATACTAACACTTGGGGGGTTTTACTTCAACTTGGTAATTTCTGGTCAGAAAAAACTTAAGGCTACCCATGATGGGGGGAAAGGTAAAACTTCCCTGTGTTTCCAAGAGCTTATACAGACACCTATTGAATATGTACTATTTAGACATATTAGTGCTAAATACAATTGAATGCTGAAAACGAAAAACCACAACATCCTCACATTATTATTATAGATGTAGAGGAAAAGACGGCAATCACAAGAAGAATTAAAATACAAAGTAAGATGCAAGGAATGGCAGATAAGGAGGACAAAGTGATTCCAGGTAGTGACATCAGGTCTATTTGAAGGAATATCAAAAGAGGACAGATCTCTGGCATGGGGAAAGAGGACAAATGCCTTGCATGCTGAATGAAGCCTGAAGCCAAAATAGAGAAACTGTATTTTCGTAGCAAAGTTCTTCTCCTTTGAGAACTGAGTTGGACATGTTAGAAATATGTATAAGGGAGAGTAGTAATGTGGACAAGATAAATGAAGATGCTGCTGTCAAGATGCAAGGTATCTTCAGTGGCTTGGTTAACAAGTTCCAAGATTATTCTGATGTCTGGGGGAAGATGACACACACAAGTGTCAATCAGGAGAATGACATCACCAGTCCTATTTTCAAAAGAAGTAGGTAAAGTCAATAGGTTAGGTCGGGCGGTAGTGGCACACGCCTTTAATCCCAGTACTCGGGAGACAGAGCCAGGTGGATCTCTATGAGTTCGAGGTCAGCCTGGTCTCCAAAGCGAGTTCCAGGAAAGGCACAAAGCTACACAGAGAAACCCTGTCTCAAAAAAAAATCAATAGGTGAGAAAGAGAAAGTGTGTCAGAGAGCAAAGTGGGGTGGTGGTGAAAGCCGTTATTAAAGTCAGGTGGCAGCAAAAGAGATAGGGTCAGGGACAATATGTGGAGATGGGTCATAAAAACCTGCTGGAGAAACGTATTAATAAGTGTGTGTGTTAATATTATCAGCAAAAGAAGAATGAAATTTTATTTATTCATTTATCAAAACAACCATATTAAGTGCCTGTGCTGTTCCAGACATGCAAAATATCAATGTTCAAAGAGTGGTCCCTTCCTCCCTTGAGCAGGGAATACTCCAGCTGGTACATACTATAAGTTATCCAATATAATTAAAGTTAAGAAGTATGAGAAACACTAGACAAGTCAGCAGTGCTCATGGGAGAACTAGAAGAGAAATAAAGGGACAACTAAGAAAATTTTTGAACTCTCCTCTATGTCAAAATGCAGTAAAAAGTAAGAAGCTTTAGTAGAACCTAAACCTCTGTCTAAGGCCACCCTTCCAGCTCCTAGCTAAGTCACTTCATGTAACATCTCCAGATGGCTTGTTTCAGAAACTGTCAAACCACTTGTTATCTTGCTGATATATAAGCTTCCTTACCTCTTATTTGCCACATTTCAGTTAAAAAAAAAAGCTGACGAATGAATAAAACATGACCCTTATTCTCTTCGCTTCTTTCTCCCTCTCTGTAGCCCTCTCCAGCCCCCTCACACAAAACCTTCTCAACTGACAGCTGTTCCCATGGAGGAGGAGAAAGGGAGGATGGAGGTGAAGCAAAGGAATTTGCAGGAAAATAAGGGCACACTGACAACTCTACTAATTCTTAAGTGAATGGTTCCAGCTTCTGTCTATAATAATACTGCCCCTGCTTCTTGTCGCTGTTTAAGAACAGTAATTATATATACATGGGCGTGCGCACACACAAACACACACACACACACAAATTCTGAGTCAGCTTGATAAGTTGCTGGGTCATTCGTAAAGAACCTTAAATATCAGAATTATTCAAGGCAAATAAGACCCAGGCTAAGTTGCTTTACTCACCTGTTATAAAACATGACCGTGATGATTATAATCAGGATAACAAACAACAGGGAAACTGACCCTCCAGCAACAGGAAGGATAAAATGGTTATTGGATCCACCTAGAAGAAAAAAATTAGGGAGTGAATTAGTAATTTAATTAAGGCCACCAAGAAAGGTAGAAAATGAAGTAAGAATCCATTAATCATGACAGGACAACAATCAAACTCAAAGAATCTAATAACGGTAGGATAGGTTAAGGTGGAAAGGCATTTTTCCTTGACAGCCTCCTTAATTCTTATGACTATCACAGGTTCTTAATTACCTCCTTAACTAAGCTGGGTTCAACAAGAACAAGAATATGGGGCTGAAAAGATGGTTCACTGGTTACTTCTCCTGCAGAGGACCTATGTCTGGTTCCAGCATCTACAAAGTGGCTCACAATTGCCTGTAATTGTAGCACCTGAGAATCTGACACCTCTGACTTCCAAAAGCACTTAAGCTCACATCCGCATATATTACACAGATATGCAGATACACATCAAGTAATAAAATGGATCTTAAAAAAAGAACAATAATTGCTGGGGGATATCTTTCTGTTCAGTGTGAACATATGTTCATCCCATTCGTTAATAAATAAGCTGCTTTGGCCTATGGCAAGGCAGCTTAGAGGCAGGTGGAAAATCCAAGGAGAGAGAAGAAAGAGAAGGGTGAGTCTGGAGAGATGTCAGCCTGCTGCCCAGGGAGCAAATGCCAGCAGACCGGTAAAGCCACAGAACACGTGACAAAACATAGATCAACAGAAACGGATTAATTTAAGATATAAGAGCTAGCTAGCAAGAGGCCTGCCATAGGCCATATAGTTTGTAAATAATATTAAGCCTCTGAGTGATTTTTTTGTTTGTTTGTTTTTTGTTTTTTGAGACAGGGTTTCTCTGTTTCTTTGCGCCTTTCCTGGAACCCACTTTGTAGACCAGGCTGGCCTCGAACTCACAGAGATCCACCTGGCTCTGCCTCCCAAGTCCTGGGATTAAAAGAGTGCGCCACCACTGCCCGGTGAGTGATTTTTTTTTTTTTTTTTTTGGTTTTTCGAGACAGGGTTTCTCTGTGTAGCTTTGCGCCTTTCCTGGAACTCACTTGGTAGCCCAGGCTGGCCTCGATCTCACAGAGATCCACCTGGCTCTGCCTCCTGAGTGCTGGGATTAAAGGCGTGTGCCACCACCGCCCGGCCCGAGTGATTATTTTATAAGCGGTTGCAGGAGCACAGGGCTGGGCAGGACCAGAGAAACTTTCAACTACAAATAATAGTAATTGCACCCATTGAACACATATGCTCTTTCATTATCATATACAAAAAAGTATTTGCAGATAAAAATTATAATACTGGAGTAATATATTAATAGAACTGCATCTTATGTTGACATATACTCCAGGCAGGCGATATAACTGAAATGTTTACCAGAATTTTTTAAAATATGTTTTATAATACATTTGAGTGAATATTAAAAGCAGTGTTGAGGGTGAACATGTTACTCCGACTTAGTGTTGTCTGGGACTCTAAATTTCCCCCTTGACTGGCCTCTGTTTTAGCTGATTGGTCTCTGGTACCATCTTTCTCTGCTCAGAATTCTTGCATCTCTCAAATGAGGTGATGAATCAGTATTTGAAAGAATGGTGAGCTACTGCTTGAGAAATCCCATCTCTGGAGGGACCAAAAGTGGGTGAGAGACTACCCCACTTTCCTCTGTGTCCTCCTGCCCATGGCCACCCTCACCCGTCTCCACTCACAGAGCATCTTCTGAGATGGCCCCCATCACTATTAGTTGCTGGCAGGGGTAAATTTGAAGTGAGGTTTTCCTGTTGTCTTTATTGCTCTCTATTGAGACAGCACATTTGCCACTGCAGTTTAGAAATCAATGACAACCTGAGAGGAATGCCCATTCAGCTCATTCTACCTCATATTTCTTCAGGACAACCCATACTTCCTAAGTCACAGTTTTACTGAATCCTTTTCTTATGATAAAAACTTAAAGTCTAGACCAGCTTTATTCAAAAGAAACTAAGACAAATAAAAGATGTTTTTAAGTTTTACATTTGTTTAATCTGCATTATAAGAATAAGTGAGAGCAGCCATACAGTGGTTCTCTTTCTGAGTCTGGCTTATGTCATTTAACAGAATATCACAAGGTTCATCTCGGGGTCACAGATGACATAATCTTCTGTGTGTATTGCTGAATGTTACCTTGCTCTGCCCATATATACCATGTTCTTTATTCATCCCACCACTGATAGACATGTTGGTTGTTTCTATATGTTGAGTGCTGTGAATAGTGCTATGTGAACACAGGGAGACAATAACTCTTCAAGGAACCAATCCCTAGTCTCTTGGATATACACTCAACAGAGGAATTAGTAGGTTGTGTAGTAGTTCTACCTTCAATTCCTTGGGCACCTCCATTTTGTTTTTCACAATGACTATGCTAATTTATATTCCTACAAAGGGTGTACCTGGATTCCTTTACACCACATCTTTGCTAACATTTATCATATCTTTATATTTTTATATTAGCTATTTAGCATGTGATTCATGCATGTGCACTTGCACAAACATGAGCATGCATGCGTACCTTGTGGTTTTGAATTCTGCTGGTGACTAGTGACACCAACTATTTTTTTCCATACTTTTGGCAAGTTTTACATTTTGTTTAGAAAAGATCAATCAAGATCTATCGCTCATTTTTAAATTTCATTATTTTCAGTATTTTTCTGATAAAATCTTGAGACTTGTGACAGCCCAGATGAACTTGTAGAATATTATTCCATGTGAAATAAGGCAGATACACAGAGACAAATACTATGAGTCTAAGTGTAGGCGAAATCTAAAAATGCTGAAAGCAGAGAGTGGAATGGCAATCTCTGGTATAGAGTAGGAAGTACAGAATATGAGATCATGCTCAAGGGTACAAGCTTTTGTTATATGAAGAAAAGGTTCAGGGGATATAGAGTATAGTATAGGTAAGTTGGGGTGTGCTAATTAATTTGGTAATGGTAATTCTTGCTCAATATTTACATATACCAAACCTTCATATTTGACACACTGAATATATTTAAGCTTTGGGAATATAGATTTAATTTTTTTTTAGAGCTAGAAGGTTGATCAGTTGGCAAAGCACTTGCCTTACAATCACAAAGACCTGACTTCTGATCCCATATGAAGTCTCCTGTGGTGTCACACTCTATGTTAAATACAGAAGTAAGCAGACTACCAGGCTGAATTAGTAAGCCCCAGGCCAGTGAGAGGTCCAGTCTCCAAAAGCATGATGAAGAGCTCCTGAGGAACAGGACTTAAGGTTGGCCTCTGATCTTCACATGTGCATGTACACAGGTTCACTTGCACAGATATAAACATATACACATACACGAGTACATACACACAAATTTAGAGTATATGTTTCTCTTGCTTTTTGTTTTCTCCAAATTTTCTAAATGATATGTTGCTTATGAATCAGAAAAAACTATGAAAGTATAAGTCTATATGCTTAAAACAGAATAATTTATTGAATTTCAGTGGTTACATTTAAAAGACAAAACGTGGGGGACTCCTTTTTAAAGTAGATTCAGAATCATTAAGAGTTAAGATTATGCTTTTGTTGTGTTCGTTTATATGACTTTAGACTATTTTCAACAGAGTTCTCAGTTATAAATCCTAGTTTCAAATGCTTCAGTTGAACTATGTTTTCCATGACCAACCTCTTTCAATAAATCTGACCATCAGTTTTAGGCCCTTCTGTTCAGCGTCTAAATGTTTACAGTCTCTCAGTATACTGGGTGATGGGTACTACAGAGGATGACAGATATGCACCTACTTTATAACTGATTTAGTGGAACTTACATTACTTTGAAAAGCCCTACATGTTTTAACATCAGGCACCAAACAAGCGTTTTTCCTCTGAAGTGAGTGTATAGAGACATGCAGCTTCAGCCACACATGGACCAGCACAGCCTGGAGCCACCGCTGTTCCCCCTCCCTTCCCTGTCTTCCTTATGTAGCTGCTCTGGAAGTGGCCAGAGTATTGTCAGCATGGACCTCCATAAGGCCTGTGTGGATGGAAACACAGAAAGCAAACAGGATGCTTTGGGGAGTTAATCAATAGTTCATAACATTCGCTTTTCCCCTTAAGTTCTGCTAATAGATCTGTGGTTGAATAATGCCAGCCCTCAAGCCCTTCTCCTAAAAGAATTATTATCTGTTCTCAGTGGTCCCTTTCTAATGGCTTTTTTCATGTATCCCAATGTTGTATTGATTCATAGGAGGACAAAACTGTCTTGAACTATGAAGCCATTAGTTTTCCTCCTATCACAAAGGATGAATGCAGTTAAAACAATTTCAAGCAAGTCAGTAAAATTTATAAATGAATAATTTTCTCTAGGCCTATGACCCTCCAGGGTAAGTTTCTGCCAGGCCAAGTATTTATGACTGAGTTATAAACCTTTAGAGAAGACTCATGATAGAAATGCCACTAGATCTTTCCTACAGTACTAGGCAAGCAGAGTCCTTGGCACTGCCCACTGTTTGTCTTTATTAGAGACTCAGGTGGATTGAGGGTGAAGGCGCCGAACAATGTGGAACCTAGATAATGAGGCAATTGCATTGGGCCATGTCTTTGATCCTAATATTTTGGAGTTGGAAGCAGGATTATCAAGAGTTCTGTGCAGCCTGGGCTACATAGCAAGCTTGAGACCAGCCTGGGCTGCATGAGTCCATTTTAGAAATGTTTGTTTGTTTGTTTGTTTGTTTGTTTGTTTGGTGGGGTATTTTTGTTTGATTGTGTTTGCTTTGGGATTTAGGGTTTTCTTTTAAATTTTATTTTGTGGGAGGGGTTGCAAGGACAGAGGGCAGAAAGGAAGGGACAGGAAGATGAATGGGATCAGGATGCATGATGTAAAATCCACAAAGAATCAATAAAAAGTTTTTTAAAAAAAAAAGAAAAAAGGAAAAAGAAACAAACCACCAAAGAATCTAACTAACAGGACCAGAACATGTGAGGAAGGGCACATTTCAAATATCAGGTAAAAGTGTTCTCTTTGGCTCATTAAAAAGGGAAGCACAAATGCCAGACCT